AACCTATCAATTCTAAAGGAAATCAACCCTGAGTGCTCACTGGAAGGACAGATCCTGAAGCTGAGGCTCCAGTACTTTGGCTATCTCATGAGAAGAGAAGACTCCTTGGAAAAGACCTTGATGTTAGGAAAGTGTGACGGCAAGAGGAGAAGGGGACGACAGAGGATGAGATGGCTGGACAGTGTCATTGAAGCTACCAACATGAAATTGACACAGCTACGGGAAGCAGTGGAAGATAGGAGGGCCTGGCGTGCTCTGGTCCATGGGGTCACGAAGAGTCAGACATGACTAAACGACGACGACGTAGTGCTGGCAAGTCTGTTTCTTTTCCTTGGTCAGAGAGGTGGTATAACAGAAATGTGGGTCCTTAGTCACTCACATTCTTTCATGGGAAGGTTCCTAATTACAAAGTTTCCTCTAAAGTTTCCTCTAAAGATTTTTTCTGAAATTTTCATATCAAGGTTACCTGTATCAGTTATATCACTGGAAGTGCCATGCTACTAAACTTTACCTCTGATAAAAAGTACTGTAATACCAAAAAAACAAAAACAACCCCAACTGGTTTGGGAGGAACAAAAAAGTCAAGAGAAACATATTGTGGATGTCAGGGAAATTTCTGTTAAGATTGATGCAAAGTCTGGTGCATAATGAGACACACACATTCCATCTTTCCAGAGTATGTGCTCTTATTTTCAGAAATGTTCAGTAGGAATTTACCAAAAAAGTAGAAGTACCAGTCAAAAGTCTGCCGGAAAGGAACTCAAACTCAGTAGCAAGAATACTTCTGTGTTGCATTTATAAGAGTACAAATGTGAAAAGGGATCTCTTTTTGTGAATGCTGATGACCAAATATCGTCTCTTTTCACTATTGTGATACCTGCAGTAGAGGCACACATGTTTATGTATTTTCCTTCAGGACTGGGTCGCTGGCAATAAGGAATGACAGATGGGGAGGAAAGTCCAAAAAGGAAGTTAGTGTTAGTATCAGTGATTGAGAAATCTGAGCAAAAATACAAAACTGTTTTCTTTCAAGATCAGTATAGGAAAGGAAAACATGTAAATGAACACACAGCAAGTACACTTCCACAGAAGGCTCTCTGCTCTCATGCATCCCTATGCACATCCATCATTTCTAGTAGAAGAAGACACAAAATACAGCTCTACAGACTGAAGTGGTCCAAGTCACTGACTCAACTAGCTCTTTCAGATTCAGTAAATGCAGAATTTTATTCAAAAAGATAATAATTGTTGCCTTCTGTTTTTAGTGCACATATTCAATTGAGTCAGTCCATAAATGCCAGTAGGTCTTGGCAGTCATAGACGCGCAAGCTGCCTCATTTAGCTGATCGACAGACTCAAGGAATGACTTTAATCACAGCTCTGAGAAAAACTAACAAATTACATGGTGTTCTAAAACAGTCATCACTGAACATGCTGCCATTTCCACCCACAAGAAATACTATAAAAAGGCTTCCTCCAGATTGGAATGCCAAGAATCCAGATGCCACTGCAGGCTGTGGCATCGACAGTAGGGGTGATGGGAGGGAAAGATCAATTCATTCTGTAAAGCTGCTTTTGGTTCATCACACAAACCTGGTCTGTCTTCCACTTGAAATGAAATGATGGCGAGGGCACATAGTTTTCATACACTGTGGGCTCGTTACCCATATTTTATAATTGTACCATATAAGAGTACCTATGACAAACAATGTGTAAAACAGTAATTCAAGCTTACATCAATTTTGTATTCCCATTTGGTTGTTCATAATTCAAAGAGTTCCCCTACATGGATTGCTGCCTTGTCGTGACGAAGGGGCTTGAGTAATTCAGAGAAGCTATGGGCTTTGCCGTGCAGGGACACCCAAGATGGACAGGTCATAGTGGAGAGTTCCGACTAAACGCAATCCATCTGAAGCAGGAACTGGCAAGCCACTCCAGTATCTTTGCCAAGAAAACCCCATGAACAGAGACGAAAGGCTAAAAGATATGAGGCTGGAAGATGGGCCCCTCAGGTCGGAAGGCGTCCAATATGCTACTGAGGAAGAGCGGTGGACGAGTACAAGTAGCTCCAGAGCTAATGAAGTAGTTGGGCCAAAGCTGAAAGGACACTCAATTGTAGATGCGTCTGAAAGTGAAAGGGAAGTCCGATGCTGCAAAGAAAAATATTGCATAGGAACCTGGAATGTAAGATCTGTGAACCTTGGGAAGCTGGATGTGGTCAAACAGGAGATGGCAAGAGTAAACATTGACATCCTGGGCATCAGTGAAATCAAATGGACGGGAAAGGGCGAATTCAGTTCAGATGATTATCATATCTACTATTGTGGGCAAGAATCCCAAAGAAGAAATGGAGAAGCCCTCATAGTCAACAAAAGAGTCGGAAAAGCTGTACTAGGATACAATCTCAAAAATGATAGAATGATTTCAATATGAATCCAGGGCAGAC